AAGTCTGTCTAGGTTTACCTAGATCTAGATTCCTGAGTGTGAAATCTAGTTGTTGAAGTGATGGTCCTTTCTCCCGAGTGACATCAGCTCTTTGTCAAGGGGAGCCCATTTTCATGCTCTGTTCTGTTCATTGGTCTATCATACAGTCTTTCGCCAATACCACAGTGTCCTGATCACTGCAGCTTTATAGTGAGTATTGTTGTCAGGATGGGCCAGTTCTCCAACTTTGTTCTTCTTCTCAAAGTCCTGTTGGCTGCTCTGAGTCTTTTGCTTTTCCATATAAACTTCAGAATCAATTTTTTTATAGCCACAGAATACCCTTCTTTATAAACTTCAGAATCAGCTTTTCTATAGCCACAAAGTACCTTTCACACACACACACACACACACACACACACCCCACTCCCTGCCTCGGGCAGGAGGCAAGGCAAGTGCAAGCCCCACAATCATCAAGTGTATCCACTGGTATTAGCTTGGGAAGCCAGCCCCATGCTTTGCACCTGACTGTGGTTTTTGGCGGAGCATCTGTGAACCCAGAAAAGGCTGCCTGGTGGGCTTTTGCTGTGCAGCCTGTGGTATGCAGTCCCTCCTGTCTCTCCCGGTTTGCTTGCACTTTTAATCATGAGGAAGTATTGGATATTGTGAAATATTCTTTCTGCAGCTATTGAGTTATCAAGTAGCTTTTGTCCTTTTTATATCTATATTGCTCTATTAATTGATTTTTAGATGTTAAGCCAGCCTAGTACTACTGGGAGAGCCCCCTAGTCATAGCTTAAAGGGATGCTGGTCTTGGCTTCATTGTGTTGGGTTTGGCAGGCTTGGGGTACTTGGCCTCACAGAATGAGTTGTGAGGTGTCTGTCTTACATCTCCTGTAAGAGTCTGTATATGACTGACACTCATTCCTCCTCAGACATGTGCTGGAGTCCTTGGTGAAGCCATCGGACCCAGGCTTTTCTCTGTAGGAAGTTTTTTTGATTCAAGCTCTTTTCTTGTAGATCTGAAGAATTTTACTTCTTGAACCAGTTTCAGTAGTCTGTCTTTCTAGGAAAGTGTGACTCTAGTCTATGTCATCTGCTTTCTGGTGTATGGGGCTGGTCAGCTATGGATTTATTTCCTTTTCTGCTTGCACACTTCTCCAAAAGAGTATGGAACCTTCAAGTGGTTCTTTTTCCCAGGTTGAGGCAGAAAAATAGAAGCCTAGGCTGCCTGGTGCACATGGAATGCTCAAGACCCAGGCCTTTCCAAGGAAGGAGGATGACTAGGAGGGGACCCCAGGGACACCTCCTTGGCAGCTGCCACAGGACAAAGCCTGGGAGGCTTGCCAACCACAGAATCACTGCCAGGAGACTTTGAGGAATTCAGGATTAAATCTAACTGCTGTGCTAGGCTCAAAGTTGCAGCTGGGGGAGGGATGACAAGTTAACTCTGTGCTCAAATCCAGAGTGGACTGTTTGCAGTCAGGCCAGCTCACACCCTTCCCTCACCTCCCCTTCCCTGTCAGCTCCCTGCCCAGCACAACCCATTACTACCTGCTTCACCCCACCTGTGCTCCCAGCCCCCTCTCCCACCTGTGGCTGCAGACTCCAGAAGAATAGGCTTCTGTTATCAGCTCCTTTCCCAGGGCTGTTATCAGCAAGTACTGAAAGCATGTGAGACACAAAGTCTGCTCAAGGCTGCGTCCAGACAGGGAAGTCAGCATGATCTTGATGTCCCCAGGTCACAGGCTTCCCAACCCTTCCACTCTCATGGTAAAATATCCAAGGGCTAACACATCTGGTTCTTGGCTAGGCACCTCCACCTCAGTCCTTCCAACAACAGGAAAAGAGCATTTCAAGGAAAAGGCAATGGAATTGTGAGGGCTTGTGAGAGGTGAAGAAGAATCAGAACTGGGATGAGTTTAGGAACCAGGCCACTCTTGGCATCACAAAAACAGAGCTTCTGAGTGCAGTGAGGGGCAGCAGTTGTCCAGGGACAAGGGGCTGAGGACAGTGAATGTCCAGGGCATGCCAGGTGTATGTTTTTACAGCTTCACAATACCAACACTATGACAGAGTTTCATTTTACAGATCAAGAAATGGAGGCACAGAGAGATTAAGCAACTTGTCCAAAGTGTCCAAGGTCATACAGCTATTGGGTAGTACATCTAGGACTGGATCCCAGGCAGCCTGGCTTTGCATCTTCTGCCTTAAATGAAAATGAAAGTGAGAAACAGCACTGTGGAGAACTTGTTTTCAAGAGTTTATAGAGAAAAGTAGGTGTGCATTCAAAAGTAACATAGTTGGCTCTGTCTGCACCTGGAGGAGTGAGTGCATAGGAGACTCCTGGGGTGAGAGTTGGGCTCAAGAAGAGGGCAGCAAGAGGCAACCTGGGGTCTTTACGAGTGGTGCCATGGCCTAGAGGTCTAATGATTCCCACCACACCATGCAGGGCCCAGATTCTCAAGGTTGTTACTGTGCCATGAAGAATCCCGGCCTGTCAAGGGAGCCAAATCAGAGGCTAGCAAGTCAAGGGGGCCAGGCCCCCAAATCTGTGCTGGACTGCCTATGGCAGTCACTCCTCTCAGGAAGCAAAGGTCAGCTCTTTCCTTAGGCCAGCTCTCTCCTTAGGCCACAGGCTGTTCAAGACTTGTACACAGAACCCTGACCCCAAAAAGACCCCCCTCTCCTTTGCTGGACATTACTACATCACACCTGGAGTAAGGGTCTTGGCCTGCTGTGCACCTGCCTGGGGTGAGGCTGCTTCCATACATTGCCCATTTCCTGTCAGGGGTCTCTGACAAGTGATTTGTTCATGGTCATGAAAGTCTTAGAAAAGTGCACCCCTGTACCCTCTCTGTCCCTCTAAGTAGAGTCCTGAGTCTGTGGGTAGCCTGTGAGCCTCCTACTCACTGGGACCCTCCCAAGCCTGGGCACCCAGTAGGATTGGAGAAATTAGGGTTATGACACAGGATCTTCAGGAGGAGTCTATTAGGTATACCATAGGAAGTCCTAGGGATAGGTGGGAGTAGGACTGAGCAGGAACCACACCTTTGACAACTTGAGCCCTCCTCAGGGATAGGTGGGATCTGTTTATACTAAATAGAAAATATAATTACCAAGAGAAATGGGCTCCTGGTGCACTGAGGCTATAGACAGATACCCAAGGCTCTGGAGCTCCCTCCCCAAGAGCAGCTCCAAGAGTTTCCAATGGAAGCAGGATTGAGCACCTGTGACCAGGTAGGTGACCAGAGCTGATAGCTTTGCTCACACAGATCCACTGAGTCTGGGCACACTTCCTGCAGCTCTGTAACAACCATGATAAACCTGGTGACTTATGCAACACACATTTCTGCTCTCACAGTTAGGAGGCTAGAAGTCCAAAATCAGTTTCACTGGGCTGAAGTCCAAGTCTGTGCACTCAGCTCGCTCCATCTGGAGGCTCCTGTGACAATTTTCCCTAAAGCTCCAGCTTCAGAATGTGTTCTCCAGACTCCTTGGTTCACGGCCCCTTCCTCTGTCATCAAAGCCAGCAGCACAGAGGTCTTGTTACATCTCATGTTGCCACCTTCCACACCAAGTCCTCCTCCACCTCTATCTTACGGCACTTATGATGACATTTTGGGCCAATGTGGGTAATCCAGGACACTCTCCCATCTCAAGTTCCTAGGGCTAGTCACGTCTACAAAGTTCCTTTTGGTATATGAGGGAATATCCCCGGGTTCCAGGGATTAGGACCTGTTATTTTGGGTAACTATTATTTAGCCTACCACAGATCCATTCACACTAACACACTGTGCCCATGAAGAGACATACCCCAAACACACCATTCCACACAGGCAGTGGAGCCCACTCCTCACATCCAAACCTCTGCCTAACAGCTTGCTCAGGTGGGTGTGGAAAGCCCTAGAGCTCATCCCATCCCACCCAGTTCCTGTGTGTGTCCAGGTGAGAGCCTTTCTTCCCCAGCAGTACCAAAAACATCTCCTCCTTTGGTCCCAGTGTTCCCTCTACCTGGAAGCCCTTCCTTACTCTGCCTGCAGAATTTAACCCACCTAAGGCTTAGCTGAAGGGTTAGTTCTGAGCCAGTGCCCCCTTCCATGCAGCCCATTAGTTCTGAGTTACCTCAAAACTTGACTCACAGCCAAGTTCAGCACCATGCCCTATGGGAGGAGTTTTAACAGAATAAGAACACTAGAAAACCAAAGGTCACCAAGCACAGCATTTAAAGGGTGAAGGTGTGCAGGTGCCACAGACCTGACTTTCAGAACCTGGTGACTGTTGGTTGGACATTTCAGTGCTGGCTAAGCTGAAATGGACAGGAATGGATGGGGTTGAACAACCTCTACCCCCAGGACTTGGCTAGGGTCAGCCTAGAGAAAGGTCACCTCTCTGATCTCTGCCTCTGCTTCTGAGTGCTAGACCCAGGGACAAGCCTCTATGGATGAGGCAGGGGCCTCCTGCTTCAGGTGAGTGCAGCTCCCAGAGTGGTCATCAGCAGTGAGCTGGTCTCAACTCTGAAGCCTGGCCCCGCATTATATCCCTTTGGCCAAGCCTGGCCTCCACCCCCACAGATGGCATTTATGAGATCTGTTTCCCAAGGGCTCAGACTCAGACCCTGATACAGAGGTCCCAGGCAGGGCCCTTCAAAGTGTGCAGTGAATGGCCTCGGCCTGGTCTGTCTGCTTTCTGCTTAGAGGCCAGCTATGCTGGGAGGGAAAGGGAGAACACAGGGTTATGCAGAGACCTCATGTGGGATTTATCCATCCTGTTCAGATATGTGGCAAGAGGGAGGAAGGCTAGCACATGGGTCAGTAGTGGCCTGCAGTGGTCAGCACAAGCAGTGAAGGCTCTGAGGCTAAGCCTTGGAATGCCATGATGCCCCAGCGTGGGGTCCTAGGAGGGGAGGACATTTTGGAATCTCCCTCCATTCCACCCCACCCTGGTGAATTTCTAAGACATTGGCCTAGGGGCCCCTGCAGCGACCTGGTGAGCCTGAACGCCTGCCTGCTGGGCTGTACTGGATGTTCCAGGGTGTTGGAGGGGAGGGGTCAGAGTCAGGCCACCTGAGGGCCTTTCCCATCCCCAGTTTGGAGCCTCGCGCAGCAGTGGCCCGCGAGATGCTCCTGGCTGCACTGGAGGACCTGAGCCAGGAGCAGCTGAAGCGCTTTCGCCACAAGCTTCGGGATGCGCCAATGGACGGCCGCAGCATCCCGTGGGGGCGACTGGAGCGTGCGGACGCGGTGGACCTCACAGAACAGCTGACCCATTTCTACGGGCCGGAGCCAGCGCTGGATGTGGCCCGCAAGACGCTCAAGAAGGCAGATGTGCGCGACGTGGCAGCTCGGCTGAAAGCGCAGCGGCTGCACCGTGAGCTGGAGGGAGGGTGGGGTGTTTCCCTGGCAAGAGTCCAGCTTTCCTGCGCTATCCAGGCCAGTGGGCAGCGCTGCCCTCCGCCCTTCTTTCCTGTTCCCCAGGACTCCACCCCCACCCCGCGAGCGTTATCCACAAATCTGCGAGTCCCAGGGCTCAGACTGGATGCTCCTGAGCGAGAATCCGACGCCCCCTATTACACCCTACCCTCACCCCCTACCACACACTCCGTGGGCCTCACTTCGGGGTTTCCCTTCCAGGGCTCGGCTCCAGCTCTTCAGCGCTGCTTTCCCTGTCTGGTAAGTCTCTCTCCGTGGAAGGCACAGGTGCCGAGCGGTCCTGGGCGTGAGTGGGGCAAAAGTGTCGCAGGCCCACTTGGGGGATCCCTACATCTGGTCTCAGGAAGGACGGAACGGCAATGTGAGGCTGGGAAGGGAGCGGAGTAGAGGAAACAATGGTCTGAGCTGGATGGGAAGGGCATCGGCCCCAGGGTGCATGAAGCCCATCTCATCCCCGCTTCCTACCCTCCACTCTGTTTCCTTCTCCAGAGTACAAGAAGAAATACCGCGAGCATGTGCTGCGACAGCACGCCAAAGTGAAGGAGAGGAACGCCCGCTCGGTGAAGATCAACAAGCGGTTCACGAAGCTGCTCATCGCACCTGGGGGCGCTGCTCTGGAGGACGAGGCCCTGAGGCCTGCCGAGGAGCCGGAACCGGAGCCGGAGCGTGCGCGGCGCTCGGACACGCGCACCTTCAACCGACTGTTCCGCAGAGATGAGGAGGGCCAGCGACCGCTGACCGTGGTGCTGCAGGGCCCGGCGGGCATCGGCAAGACCATGGCGGCCAAGAAAATCCTGTACGACTGGGCGGCGGGCAAGCTGTACCAAGGCCAGGTGGACTTCGCCTTCTTCATGCCTTGCGGAGAGCTGCTGGAGCGGCCTGGCACGCGCAGCCTGGCTGACCTGATCCTGGACCAGTGCTCGGACCGCTGCGCGCCCGTGCGGCAGATGCTGGCTCAGCAACAGCGGCTGCTCTTCATCCTGGATGGTGCAGACGAGCTGCCGGCACCCGGGTCCCCCGAGGCCGAGCCCTGCACAGATCCCTTCCAGGCGGCGAGCGGCGCGCAGGTGCTTGGCGGGCTGCTGAGCAAGACGCTGCTGCCCTCGGCCCTCCTGCTGGTGACCACACGCGCCGCCGCCCCGGAGAGGCTGCAAGGCCGCCTGTGCTCGCCACAGTGCGCCGAGGTGTGCGGCTTCTCCGACAAGGACAAGAAGAAGTATTTCTACAAGTTCTTCCAGGATGAGTGGAGAGCCAAACGCGCCTACCGCTTCGTGAAGGAGAACGAGACGCTGTTCGCGCTGTGCTTTGTGCCCTTTGTGTGCTGGATCGTGTGCACCGTGCTGCGCCAGCAGCTCCAGCTGGGTCGGGACCTGTCTCGCACCTCTAAGACCACTACGTCAGTGTACCTGCTTTTCATCGCCAGCGTGCTGGGCTCCGCGGGCGCTGATGGGACCCGGGTGCAGGAAGAGCTGCGCAAGCTGTGCCGCCTGGCCCGTGAGGGCGTCCTACGGCACCAGGCGCAATTCACCGAACAGGATCTGGAGCGACTGCAGCTGCGGGGTTCCAAAGTACAGACACCGTTTCTCAACAAGAAGGAGCTACCAGGTGTGTTAGAGACTGAGGTCACCTACCAGTTCATTGACCAAAGTTTCCAGGAATTCTTGGCTGCACTGTCCTACTTGCTAGAGGACAAGGGAGCTTCCGGGGCACCCACTGGCAGCGTGGGGACGCTCCTGCATAAGGATGCCGAGCTGCGTGGTCACCTGGCGCTCACCACTCGCTTCCTCTTCGGACTGCTGAGCGCGGAGCGGATGCGCGACATCGAGCGCCACTTTGGCTGTGTGGTCACGGAGCATGTGAAGCAGGAGGTCCTGCGGTGGGTCCAGGGGCAGGGTTGCTCCAGGATGACATCAGATGGGAAGGAGGAAGCCGAGGGGCTGGAGGATGTGGTGGAACCAGAAGAGGAGGAAGAGGAGGAGACCAACTCCGGACTGGAGCTGCTTTACTGTCTGTACGAGACACAGGAGGACGCCTTTGTGCGCCAGGCCTTGCTTAGCCTGCCCGAGCTGCTCCTGGAGCGAGTGTGCTTCAGCCGAATGGACATGGGGGTTCTGAGCTACTGTGTGCGGTGCTGCCCAGCTGGACAGGCTCTGAAGCTGGTCAGCTGCAGACTGGTGGCTACACAGGAGAAGAAAAAGAAGAGCCTGATGAAGCGACTGCAGGGGTGAGTCTTCAGGGCAGGGCTGCCTTCTTTAGCAGGCCCTCTTGTGCATGAGGTTCCTGTGTTAGCAAATGCCTATGCACTTGTGCCCATCTGGACTTGAGAGACATGTCCAGATCTGATGCTTGTTACCCCAGATGGCAGGGAGGACCTTAGGGCTGCTTTTGTCTACCCCTGGCAAGGCAGGGACCAATGTCCCTGGCAAGGGGGTCCAATGTCCAGCTTCTTCCCCAGGGTGTGCACACCGTGCCCACCTGCAGCCACCCACAGTCAAGGCAAACCTACCAGCACAGCCAGCATACCTCCACACAGCTCTAGCACAGGCCCTCCCCATTTCTCCTAATAGGTTCTGGAATACACCCTGCCATCTGTACCCTGAGCCTTGTACCTATGCTTCCCTCCACCCACCACACATTTGCTGCTTGTCCTCAAACCTGCCCTGGCTCCCCCAGCTAGCTTAGGATCCCATTGGATGGTCCCATCCAATACCATACCTCCCCTCCCCCAACTCTTCCTCTAGACCCTCAGCTCCTCCACAGAGGACAGGTGCCCTGTGTCGGTTAGGATGTTGGCAGGGGCTGGGCCTAGGGACCGGAAGACTCATTCCTGGGTTTCACTAGGATTTGGTGGGGGAGAGGGCAGAGGGTGGAGAAGAGTGGTCCTGCCTCAGCATGGGGTGAGAGGCAGAAACAGCCCCAGAACCCCAGGAAGGAGTCTTAGATAGGAAACAACCCCTTCCAGGAGGGCCTGGAAGGGACAGAGTGGGCTTCACCTTGCTTTCTCTCCTAGAGGTTCTCGATCCACCAAGAAAAAACTCCCAGTCTCCCTGCTGCGTCCACTCTGTGAGGCCATGACTGATCAACAGTGTGGTCTGAGCAGCCTGACGTAAGTGAACATGCCCCATCCCTGCCTGTGGACGGAACTCAGAGCTTGATGCCCTGTGTAGAGACAGAAATTTAGCTTATGGGGAAGACTGAGGGCTGTTGGGTACTCCATCACTAAGTCTGGTGCCAGTGGTTTGTGTAGAAGGCAGAGTGCACTCACTGTGTCTGGGGAGGGACAGAGAAGACAGTGTATTTACTTCCAAAGGAAGCTTCTGAGCACTGTTGGGAGGCTGCTGGGCCATCCCTCTGGGGCAAGGTGTTTAGGGTCAGGGTCTTAAGGTCACAGGCTGCCTGTGTCTGGGCTTTGCTTTCCTCTCTGTGAAAAGTAACTAACAGATTCTGCCTCAAGGGGTTGGTGTGAATTTAGTGAGGCTAAGCAGGTACAGAACTTAGAATGTGACAGCCTTCTAATCACTATTATTCATCACAAGTAAGCAGAAAAGCTACAGAACTGATAGTGACAGGGTGTGGTGACACAGATCATCAGTCGTACATCAATGGTAGGGTAGCAAACTAGCTTGATGGACTGACTGCTTCCAATCTGAAAATAAACACAAGGAGTCCAAAGTGGTCACATTAACCCAGCAATTCTAGCAATAACTAAGTGCATGAAGAGACCCAGCACACCATGATTTACAATAATTAAAAAAAAAAAAAGCAGAAACTTCACAGCTGCCCAGCTATGGGGACTGGCTGACTAAAAAACTTGGGCCCACCTCAACCTGATGAACAATTAAGAGGGGTCCACACATCTCTTAGCTGAATATTAGGTCACCAAAGTGGGTAATTTGTGCAGTTGGAGGTTAAGAAGTGGCCAAGGTGACCACAGACAAATCCTTATGCTTCTTGACCACAGGCTGTCACATTGCAAACTCCCTGATCCGGTTTGCCAAGACCTCTCTGAGGCTGTGAGGGCTGCCCCTGCCCTGAGGGAGTTGGGCCTCCTCCACAACCAGCTCAGTGAGACGGGTCTTCGTGTGCTGAGTGAGGGCCTGGCCTGGCCCCAGTGCCGGGTGCAGACCCTCAGGTGAGGTCTGGTCTGGGAGGGATAGAGAGATGGGATCCTCCCCCCCAAGCAATGCCTGAGATCAGCCTTCCCCACAGAGTGCAACTGCCTGGCCTGCAGGGCGCGCTCCAGTACCTGGTGGGCCTGCTCCAGCAGAGCTCTACCCTGACCACCCTGGACCTCAATGGCTGTCAGTTATCGGACCCTATGGTGACCTACCTGTGTGCAGTCCTGCAGCACCCAAGATGCAGCCTACAGACCCTCAGGTGAAGGCAAAGGCAGGCAGGGTGCTGGGGACACAGCCTAATCACACTCAGGGTGGAGTAGGTGCCCGGAGTCTTCCTCTACACCTTTAAGAGGAGTCACTCCCAGAGACCTCCCACGAAACCAAGTTCATACACACATCAGGGTATCCAGCCTGGACCTGGACCAAATATCCATATTCTATGGACACAGGCTTGGCCAATGATTTTAATACCTTCTACTCCTAAGAAGGTCTTCAGCCTCAGACTGAGCCTGGTTGACCATCTTTTGTCACTGGGGCCTTTGACACAACCTAGACCATCAACTCCACCATGTCACTAGAACTGCCCCAGCCCTGGCCTCTTCTTCTTGACTGACTAACCCCTTCTGTCCTGTGCTGCAGTCTGGCCTCTGTGGAGCTGAGTGAGCAGTCATTGCAGGAGCTGCGGGCTGTGAAGACAGCAAAGCCAGATCTGGTCATCTTACACCCAGCACTGGACAGCTCTCTCAAGCCTCTCGAGGGATTCACCAGTGTCCTCTGAGATCCTGGAGGCCAGAGTGGGTAAAGAATACTGTAGTCAGAGCCCCTATGGATAAGTCCTCCCCATTTTAGGGGCAAGAAGACTCCATGCTGAGCTTCCAGGAAACTCTTGCTCCAAGAGGCCCTGTGCAGACAAGTGGTACACCCAGACAGGCCCAGGCCCTTGCCTGGTCTCACACAGGCCATGACATGTAGAGGACGTCTCTCCTTCCACACCCTAGGGTTCCTACTCCCCCGTCCCACAGCCACTGCCACCTTCCTCTCCTGATACCCTCCAGCCACATCCCCTGCAGACATCGCCAACAACGATGACAGCCACCCATTAACTGAGCACCTACGTGTGTTGGCAGAGCACTGGCTTCCTTTCCAAAGGAAGCTTCTGAGCACCATTGGGAGACTGCTTGGCCATTCCTCTGGGGGAAGGTGTTCAGGGTCAGGCTCTAAAGTCAGGCTGCCTGTGGATCCTGGCCTACTTCTGTCTGGGCTTTGGTTTCTTCCCTGTGAAAAGTAGCCAGTAGGTTTTAACTGAGTACTACAGACCTGGCTCTTTCTGACCTGGCCCTCATCTGCAGGGTGGGTAGATCTAACCCCCACAATTCTGACCCTATAGTCTACAATAGGCAAGTCTCCCTGGGATTTTGGGTCCTGGCATTAGGAGTAAGGCCATCCCTAGTCTCTGTGGCCTGGAGCTACAGAGCTGTCCCTACCTGAGCACTACAAAAAAGAGAGACCAGGGGAGGGGGGACACAGAGTGGTAGCCCCTGCTTGGTATGGAAGCTGTAATGTCACGTTGAGTGGGGAATCCCCAACATACTGATAATAAATTATCCTTTAAATTCACTTCCATTGGTCTCTATAACAATTGGCCAGATACCCTGCTAACCTGCCTGTATAGGACAGGGTTTAGTCCACAGTTTACCACTAAGGAAACTGAAGCTCAGTGGGCTGGCCTGAATGCAGAAAGCCTAGAGGCAAAACTTGGCCTTAGAGGGCCAGGGCCAGCAGTGGACAGCCAGGAACTTTCAGTCTTCTCTTCTCAGTACTGTTGAGCTTGGCCAGCTCTTGAGGCCCAGTCCAGGTGGAGGAGGGGGGACCCGAGAATGAGCCCCTTCACTTTCCAGGGGAAATTCCCTTCATAATCACTTTATAAATTCATTCATCCCTTCATTCCACAAAGCAGACAAAACCTCTGTCCTCCTTGAGCAGGCATTCTGGCAAGAAGTCAGATAACAGTATATGGGTGATGCACAAACATGATACAATAAATACATATATGTTACAAAAAGATGATAGAGTAAGCATAGGATACATAATACAGTAAATACCTATATGATTAAAAAACAAGATACAGTAAATATGTCACACATAAATATGTATGTTACACAAGATGCAGTAAATGGGATACATAATATTCTATGTGTATATAATATACACAGTAAATAGGTAGGTGGTACATTAAATGCTAATACAATAAATATAGGATGCATAAACAAGGTACACCACATACATATTTCTAGAGATGAACACAATAAATAGTTGAGAGGAGCTGATGTGGACGAAAGCAAAGTGCAGCAGGGGATGAAGAAAGTGGAGCCAAGGGTTCCACAGCTAGTAAGGGTTCAGGGAGGTCTCTTGGAGGAGGAGGAGGATTAAGACCAACACCTGAGAAGGAAGACAGTGAGGGAGTGCTTAAGGAACAGTACTTCCAAGCAATGAAAGCAAAAGAGGAAACATGTTTGCAAAAGTCCAGAAGCAGGAGAAACCAGGGTGGCTCCCAGAGAGTACAAAGGGGTAGGAGGTGAGGTCAGGAACAAAGGCAGGGAGAAAAGGATTTTGAGTGGAGTTGGGGAGCGCCCTGCCATAGGCCTCAGTGCAGGCTGCCAGGTTTGGGACCTAAACATGCTTGGTGGCTGCTCCTGTTGCTTGTCCAGGAAGAGGCCTGCAAGGTGGGGCCAAAGAGACTTGTTCAGGGGTAGACTGACTGTGGTACGCTGGTGATGGAGGGTCAGGATAGGTCAGCCGGAGCATCTGGACAGATGGAGTCACACAGAGTTTAGGTCAATCAAGCCAGGAATGGGAGCTACAAGGACAAGTCAGGTCCAGGCCTACACCCTGCAGCGCAAATGGGAAACTGGTGAGATGGAGATTATCCCCGACATAAAGTTGGGAGTCTCCAGCACAGAGGACACATCTTCAGGAGGAGGTCTGGCCAACTTCTGGTGAAGAGGGGGAAATGGGGAAAAATGAAAGAAATCCCATGCAGCTCCCCTCCCCTCACCTACCCGCCGTCCACCCTTGCAGACATCTTTAAGGTCATAACTCGATTTCTCATTCTGGTGGCGTTGTGTTCAACTTGACACAAGGCCCCTGGCTCACAGATGGCGACACAGCCTCACTAAGCACAGCTCTGTCTGGCCGGGGCGGGTCCTGGGGCGGGACCACGGGCTTCCTGGTCACATGGTGGTCACGCGACCACGAAGGCAGCCTCTCCCTCCCGCCAGTGGCAGCGCGGACCAGGGGGTGGATCCCAGGGACCCAAGCGCCCCTTGGGGCTGAGCAGGGTTTTGGTGAGTCCCAGAGACCACCCCGACGGCCCTTCCCCGTCCCGCTCCTTCGTCCTCCTGCCTTCCCACTCACACTCATCTCCCCTTCGCACCCACCCCTCTCCTGCGCCCCCTTCTCCCTACCCCCCGCCCCCGCTCATCCCTCCTCCACCCGCAAGCCCTCCAGCTCTGGCCTTCTCCCCTACACCCTCCTCTCTCACCCACGTCTGCGTCCGTCTCCCCCACACCCGATCCCTCCCCTTCCCGCACCTCCTACCCCGCTTCCGCCTACGCCCACTCGGGCCCTGGGCTGAACTTCCTCATTCTATCCTCAGTACTTCAAAGCCGGAGAAGGTGGGTCAGGACCCTGTTCTTAGGGCTGCTGCTTGGATAGACCGGGAAGACCCGCTACGGGTTAGGACTGCGGTTCTAAGTTTGGAGACTGAGGAGTCCCTGGAGAGGTTCGAGGGTCCGAGCTGAGGGTGTTTTCCTGAGCTGGCCCCTAGTGGCGGCTCTGGAAATTCAGGGTTGCTTAGCTGGTCCCAAGCTCCCCTCCTGGGAGGGGCAGGGTCAGCTTTCAGGGATTTACAGTTTGCCTGAAGAGGGAAGCCCAGCTAGTCATGGCCTGTGCCTTTCTCAGGCCATCCCCGCTGAGCGACCTTCCCATGGAGGATGCCCGGGAGGACCCCACCGTATTCACTGCCCCCTCTCTGCCCAAAGACCCCCGACTCCTGGCCACTGTGACCAACACATACCTGGGCACACGCGTGTATCAGGACACACTGCATGTAAGTGGCCTGTACAATGGGGCCGCGGGAGGCACACACCGGGCAATTCTGCCCAACCCCCTCAACACCCGGATGGAGGCCCCTGCAGAGACAGGAGAGCAGCTGACTGAGAACTTTGCCCTGGATACCAACACAGGTAGTTGTCCCCTGACTTGGCCTCTCCTTCCTCAAGCTGTCTTTCCGAATGAGAGCAGGGAGAACCACACCTCAATGCCCAGGGCACCACCTCACTTTCTGAGGGAAGTCTTATAAAGGAAAGGAAGCTGTGAAGGCCCAGCGTGGTGGGGCGTGCTTGTAATCCCAGTGCTGGGGACGCTAAGACAGGAGGATCCAGAGTTTGAGGCCAGCCTGGCCTACAGAGCAAAACCCTCCCTCAAAAATAAATAAATGGTCTTTTATAAAAAGGCTACTAGAGGCTGTGTCCCAAGGCTCCCCCTCTTTCCCTCCACCTAAGGGGCCTTCTGAGGCCTCCTCCCAGCCTCAGGAGACCCAAGCTTTGCAACTTTCCTGGGAAGGGAGGGCTGGCTTCTCTTTCATCCTCCTCAGGATAACCCAAGCTTCCAACCCTCCCCAGGTTCCTTTCTGCACACCCTGGAAGGCCCCAGCTTCAGGGCCTCCCAGCGCATCTACGCCCACCGCATGCTGCCCCACGTCCTGGCCTTCAGTGTGTCCATTGAACGCCTGGCTGCAGGGAGCTGGCCCATCACAGTGCTGCTGCAGTCAGCCTTCTCCCCAAAAAGCCCAGACCTGGACCTGCACCTGGGGCCTGACTTCCAGGGAGTCCGGTGAGAAGGGGGTCAGGTCTCAGCTGGCAGCCCAAAGAGGAACCTATCCCTGAGTCTTGGCTGTGCTCTTGCAGGTACCTATATGGCCACACACTCACCCCTGAGCAGCCTGGGGGACCACAGCAGGAGGTACACATGCTATGGACGCCAGTGCCCCCAGCCCTGACCCTTGGAAAAGATGAGGAGGCTAGGACCTGGGACTTCCTGACAGTAGTGGGCAGCAGTCAGGCCGAGGCCCAGGCCTGCTTGGCTGAGGCTCTGCAGCTGCAGGCCCAGGGAACTCTGTACATAGCTCATGCACAGGCGTGGGCCCAGTTCTGGGCAGGCTGTGGCCTGGACGTTGCAGGTCCCCTGGCCTTGCGCCAGGTACTTCGAGGCTCTCTCTACTACCTGCTCAGTGCCCTGCCCCAGCCAGGGACCCCAGGCTACATCTGCCATGGCCTCAGCCCTGGGGGCCTCTCCAACGGGAGCCAGGAGGAGTGCTACTGGGGCCACATCTTTTGGGACCAGGTGTGCATCATCCCCCAGCATCAGCCACACAGCGGGCAGCACATAGGCATTGAAGGCACTGCCTTCTCTGGCTCAGGGCTATCGTTGGGGGACATAAGGGCCATGCAGATGGGAAGGCTTTCTTGAAGAGGTGCTATTTCAGCCAATATTCAGGTGTTTGGTAGAGAAAAGTGTTTTGGGTGAGAAAACCAGGAAGTGCAAAGACCCAGAGCTGAGGGCATACCACACATGAGAGCAGGAAAGGGGCATCATCAAAGTGGAAAGAGCAGGAGGCCCAGACTATCAGGGCCTTGTAGAGAGCAGCATGTAGGCCTGGAGTTTACCCAAGGGCCAAGGAAGCCATGGAGACTTTAATCTGGGAGTGACATAAGCAAGTACACTCTGGAAAGACCTGTGGCTGCCAGATGGAGCTGGGAGAAGCTGAGGGTATGGGGAGGGGTGGGACTTGGTGGCCACTTCACAGGGAGGAATTGAGAGTGAAGACTCAGGGCTTCACTCTGACAAAGTCATCTGACACCTCTGAGGTCAGTTCTGTGGCCCCATTTAGGATGAAGCTGAGGTCAGGAAGCCAGCAAGGCAGGGTGGCCTCCCTCTAGGCAGCCCATGCCCAGATTCTGGCTGGAGCCTTTGGGCACACCCAAATGCCACAGAGGAGTGAAATGCTGAGCAGGAACCAGAACTCCAGAGGTGTCTGATCTAGAGAGGAAAAGGGTGGGAGGCAGGAAGAGGCCCAGGGTGGATATGGGTGGGCTTCTGATAATGGACCTAAGAGGCAGCAGAGCCCCTGCCAAAGGGCAGGGAGGTAGCTGCCAGCTGCCCTGCTTACTGTATGCCGACTCAAGGTCCCGCCAGGGCAGGATATGGGCAGTGGGAGGGATCTGTCCAACAGAACTGGATGTCCTCTCAGGACCTCTGGATGTTCCCTAACATCTTGATGTTCCATCCGGAGGCTGCCAGGGCCATCCTGGAATACCGAATTCGAACACTGGGTGGGGCTCTGGAGAATGCCCGGAACCTTGGCTATCAGGTGAGGGGGTCTGGACACTGCCCCATAGGACCCCCACCTCAGGGTCAGCACAAAGTGAGAACTAGACAGAAGCCACTTGGCCCACAGTTGGGATACACAGTTGAGCACCCTCCCCCTTTATTCTCTGTCCTTCCACAAGGGATCCCCCCCAAGGCTGGTGTGTGGGATGTCATCAGCTGCCCCTACCCTAACCCTCATTCCCCACCTCCATTACCACAGGGAGCCAAATTTGCCTGGGAGAGTGCAGGCTCTGGCCTAGAGGTCTGCCCCGAGGACATTTATGGGGCTCAGGAGATTCACATCAATGGGGCAGTGGTCTTGGCCTTCCAGCTGTACTATTATACCACACAGGTGAGGTCACTGCAGCCACCAGGTGTGGCCATACCCACACCCTGTAACCTGTATGGGACCAGTCCTGGGAAACAGTCTGAAGAGGACTGTGGGAGCCAGGCCTTCCTTTCTGGGCACTCAAAGGGTAGGCACTGGGCATACACAGCAACCCTCTGGTGCTCTGGACCCTGTCCCTCCTTCCCCAGGACTTGCATCTCTTCCAAGAGGCTGGTGGCTGGGACGTGGTCAGTGCTGTGGCTGAGTTTTGGTGCAGCCGTGTAGAGTGGAGCCCCAGAGAGGAGGAGTACCACATGAGAGGTAAAGCCCAGGGGAGGGGCCTGGGAAAGGAGGGTAGATGTTCCTGGACAGCTTTACAGTGACTGCTGGTGTTGGAGGCATGTCCTGAGCCCCTGCACTAAGCACCAAGGTGGCCCCATGTGCCCAGGAGTCATGCCCCCTGATGAGTACCACTCGGGAATCAACAACTCCGTATATACCAACGTCCTGGTCCAGAACAGGTGAGGCAAGAGACTCACCCCTAGACCTGCCCCAACACTGCCCCACCACAATGCCTAGCGAGAAGTGCAGAGGCTGCGGCCTGTCCTTTCCACACAGTTTGCGCTTTGCTGCTGCCCTGGCCCAGGACCTGGGTCTGCCTGTCCCTGATCAGTGGCTGGTGGTAGCTGATAAGATCAAGGTACCCTTTGACCCGGAGCGAAATTTCCACCCCGAATTCGATGGTTATGAACTTGGTGAGTGGCCCTGCTGCCTTGCCAAGACCTCCCAAAACCTTGCAACCTGACCTGTCCTGGCACCCCCAATCAGCGACATCTCCCCTGCCCCAGGAGAGGAAGTGAAACAGGCCGATGTCGTGCTCCTGGGATACCCTGTCCCCTTCACCCTGAGTCCTGATGTCCGCAGGAAAAACCTGGAGATTTATGAGGCTGTAACATCCCCCCGAGGCCCTGCCATGACCTGGGTGAGGACCCTGAGGGTGCTCCTGCCCCACTGGCCTCAATTTTCCTACCCTACACAGTGGGTCTCACCACAACATGTTCTCTGAACTCCAAATCCAGAGCATGTTTGCTGTGGGCTGGATGGAGCTGAAGGACCCGTCGAAGGTGCGAGACCTTCTGGACAGGAGCTTCACCAATGTCACTGAGCCCTTCAAGGTTAGCAGGACCCCACCCACCATACTCCCTCTGTCCCCATGGTGGAAGTAGAGCCTAATTTTAGCAGGGTTTCAGCAGGGTCACAACCCTAGCAATTCCTGCCTGACCTTGGGATGGCATCCTCAGGAGACCTAGTGTCCTGGGGTTCCCATCACCTACCACCCTTGCACTCTGCAGGTGTGGACAGAGAATGCAGATGGGTCAGGTGCTGTGAACTTTCTGACAGGCATGGGCGGCTTCTTGCAGGCAGTGCTCTTCGGATGCACCGGGTTCAGGTGAGTACGGTGGCCAGCAGAGGGTGACCCCTGCCCCCCCCCCCCACCGCCAGCCACCTATTTACACAGTTCTCCCTACAGGATCACTGAGGCAAGTGTGAAGTTTGATCCCTTGTGCCCAGTGGGGGTCTCCAGAGTGCATATCTCTGGCATATCCTACCAGGGGAACAAGCTCAATTTCGCCTTCTCCAAAGACTCCATAACAGTTGAGGTCACAGCCCAGGCAGAGCCCTGGGCCCCCCTGCTGGAGGCCAAGCTATGGCCATCACAGACCCGGCTCCCTCTTTTACTGGGTAGGTAAGGGTCTGGAGTGGTGTAACCAAGGTGCCCTGGGTGTGTGCCCCCACCCCCAGGACACCCTTCTTTCCCTTCAGGACACAAGGTTTCCTTTCCCCACTCGGCTGGCCAGATACAAAGGTCACCCCCATAACTGCACAGAAGCTCCAGCTCTGAGTGTTTCCTGGGAGAATTTTTGAAACCCTTAGATACCTTCTCCAGAGCCTCTGGAACAGCCTTGGACCCTTCAGCCTGCAGAGTGCCTCACTCTGGAATCCTGCTCTGAGCCACCAGGGCTGCTGGGCCTTCCCTCTGCACCCACCCCTCCCCTGTATACTCCCCAACCCTGCTCCAGTTTAGAGCTGTCTGCCTCTAGCCTGAGCCCTCCCAGCCTAGACTTGACGGCATGCAGCCACACCACACATTGTTATCTGTCTACCCTTGAGCTAACCCCACATGCTCTTACATCTGCTCTTGAGCTAACCCTGACATCCCCATTCCTTAACCATCTTGCTGCTTCCCCAGGACTGGGGCCTTAGCCTGCATGCTCACCTCTGGCCTCTGATTCCTGAACTGTTCTGATCACAGGAGCTGGTGGGAGTAATCAGCAGCTCCACTGAGAAAGTGGGCAACGGGATGGGCTTGGTCACTTGAAGAATTGCTCAGGACTGGCACTGTGGCTTTGCCAGTAAGAAGCTTCTCATGACATGTGGTTGGGGTCAGGATGAGCTGGCCTAGGGGCCCATGGGGGTGGTGAGGCCTTAGCTTCCTTACTTTTTGACTCCTCTTGACCTTGACCTCTGGCCCAGTGAGGGGGCATAAGTAGCTATCCTCAATCATTCAGTTCATAAGAAAGGGAAGAGGTGCAATGAGCAGAGGACATATGGACTCCAAAGAAAGACCTCAAAGATCCTCATTGGCCACCAGAAGGACCAAAGCCAAATGTGCAGTATTCACGGTCCACTCATCTGTGATGGGCAAGCTGCCCACAGCTGGAGACTCTGCTTGGCCTCTATACCTGGGCCTAAGTCTCTGGCATGATTTATCAGTGTTTCCCTAGAGCAAGGTGCCATGGCATTTGGGGTCAGGATCCTGGTGAGGCCATGCTCCTCCACCAAGCCAGGTGATGAATTAAAAGTCTTTGCTGGGAAGTCAGGCTTGTGTGGACTGACTTTCCCTTTTAACCTGTGGCCAGAAAGTACAGTTGCAGTAGCTTCAAAGTTTGAAAGCAAGCTTTGTGTTCCTCCCACCCACTTCCTTTGCTCTGTGTTGCCACAGTTCCCAAAATAGTTGCTCTACATTCCTCATGGAGCAGACATCAGACAGAGCTTCATATGTGTGGAGGAAGGCATCTTTTGCTGTGGGCAGCTTTTGAGCACCTATGGCTCCCAGTGCCTGTCTTCTGTCTGCTATGCTGGGAAGGATGGTGTCTAGGACACATATGGGCTCTGGCAGCTGCCTCTGCACTCAGGTATAAGGGACCTCCCCAGTAGGAAGTATATGGAATGTACAGGGTAGGGAGCCCTGGACAGCCTCTTACGACCACAGTGAGTGAGAAGTACACTTGGAGCTCACAGCCATGGTGGGCTGGACTGTAGCTTGGTGCAAAGCACATGCAGCCCAGGCCTGGCTGGGAACCAAGGGGCATGGCCGACATGGGCTTGCCTGGGTGCCTATAGCTCTCCCTCAACACAGTGCTCCACTGACAAGGCAAAGAACTGAGAGAGATCTGCTGGAGAGAGTATGGGCATATTTTCCCTGTTGTGGGCAGGTTCTGTCCCAGCAGGAGTGGACAGACATTACCATACCCATTGCCTCTCTGACAGGAGGACAAGAGGCAGTTGTCAGTGTGCATGGATGGTGGTGTGACTGTGTGTGTGTGAGTCCAGTGCCAGCCCATGGAGGAGATAGTCCCCACCTGCCTTCGTGGCCCTCACTGGCCCAGCAGACAACATAGCACAGATTTCTCAGAATTCAGGGACAAACAACAACCCAGGAGAAGAGTAGCACACACCCAACACACAGGATAGGACAAACAGATGGAGTGGGCCAGGGCCACATGTGGAATCAGGATATACCCACCCATGTGGCCACCAAACCACAGGGCAGCAGGGATCAAAGACTTACATTCCCAAACTTCATCCTAAAATACTCAGATGTCTCCACCCCAGAAGCCACAAGCTGCCCTGCAGCTAAGCAAGGGGGACAATCAAGGACAGACAATCAGAACAAGGTGACTGGGGGTTGGTTGGGGCTTTGGAGCTGTACCCTTCCCACACTGCAGTCAGGAAGGAGGCTCTGAGGTACTTCTGGAACCTGGCACTTTTAATTGCGAACAAAGGGTCAGCCTGAGGAGTGAGGAGAGAGGGGCAGAGTTAGATACTGGAGACCCTCAATATTAGGATGAGATCCTTGGGGTCTAAATGGACCAATATTGGGTGCCAAAATCAGACAAGGGGGTCTCTGTGGTCAGAGTGATTCAGGGGTCAAGGCTTTATAGTAGGGTCCAGCTCCAGAGATCTGTCATTGAGCCCCTAGGTCAGAGTCCTCAGTTGGGGTCCTCAAGTTAGGACAGGGTTAGGACTCAGCCTGTCAGTCATAGTCTCCATCATCGAACTTGGTAGTGAAGAAGGCTGCGGAGCCCTTGGCCAGCTGAGACAGGTGCAGGGCTCCAGTCACCACTAGCCCAAGGAGCAGCAGTGGGGGCACCAGTGTCCACATGGCAGCCAGGATGTTGTAGCATTTGGCTTTGGATCCATAACGTCGTGCAGCCTCCAGGTCCCCGGCCACCTTCTGATCTCGGGCCTGCAGAGCAGCAGTGGGGCCAGAGTGTCACGTGTCTGTGATGTCTGGGGTAGAGGCACCTGAAGGGCCCAGGCTGGACCCAAAACCTGGATGGAGGGGTGTGGCCTGAGGGGACAAGCCCCAGGGTTAAGCCCATTTCCTTCACTGTCTTCAATTTGACACAAGGTTTAACCCTCTGTGGGGCCTTGGGTCATAGCAGCCCCCAACCTAAATTGGGGCTGAAAGGGGTTCAACATCAGCCTCCACAGAGCCCTCTGTTGGGGAGGAGTCCTCTGGGGAGCTGGAAACCCCAAGTCCACCCAGGAGCTGAAGTCAAAGTGTCTCAGGTCATGGGAGTCTCAGCATATAAGGGCCCCCTGTGGAAAAGGGGCCTCTGTGGGCAACCTCCATGGACTCTGCCCTTTGGGAAGGACTTTATCCCCTCCTTAAAATCAGGCCTTCGTCTTCTGTGAACAGCCTCTCTCCCCACCCCACCCCAATGGAGAAACCCTCGTGGCCTCCACCTTGGTGAGGAACTCTATGGTCATGCTAAAGGAGCCCCCTTCACAAGCTGCCCCCATGGGTCCTTTCTCCCCAGGAGCCCCCCACAAAACCTCTCCCCCAGCATCTCCCCATGAAGTCCCTAGGCTTCAATAACTTCCCACAAGGCTCACCTCACCCCTTAGCCCCTATTGGAGCCCTTCCCTCACAGCCCCCCATAGGGGCCCTCCCCCTGCAGTCCTCCACAGGACCCTCCCTTGAAGTCCCTCTACTCACCTTGACAGAGTGCACTAATGCCAGGAAACCAAGGCAGCATAGGTTTAGGTAGATTGTGCTGAAGATGGACCAGAGCAAATGGTCCCGAGGCTTGGGGCAGGGAGGTCCCAGTGTGAGGGCCGTGTCGGCAGCACCATCAGCCTTGTGGGAAGTCAGGGTCCGGGGATCTTCACGGGGGTACGATGTGTCCATGGGTTCCAGCGCTGTCTCTTCCTTGCTCAAACTTGCACTTCCAGGGTGGGCACCAGGCCTGCTTATAGCCCCACAGCCGCCCTCCCTGGCTGCCCAACTCTGCCTGCTATATATAACACAAATTACAGCCTGGAGTCTGCGGAACAGGGTGGCCCGCCCTCCAGCCGGTATCCCCCACCCCCAGGGAGACCCCATCAAAGGCTGCTGTCCTACATATGCAATGGCCACATACCACCCACCAGAGACCTGCTGTCCTGACTATAGGACCCCAGGGACACCCCACTGGAAGGCTGCTGGGGGCCAGTGGGCACTATGGTGCCTCAGCTCAGGGAAGGGCAGAGCCCCCCAAGCTTGGGTAACCTGAGCTTTCAGGACCTTAGCTGCTGAAACCACAGCCTTCCACCCAGAACACAGAACATGGGCTCTGATCATGTTATCTACTGCTGCTGGGCATAAAAGCGTGCTGGGAGCATGGCTTAAGTGGTACAGCGCCTGCCTAGCAAGCACAATGCCCCGAGTTCGAACTCCCTTTGAGGTTTTAACTACAAACAAAGGGAGAGGGTGGGGGCAAAAATGCACTTGTCAGAGATAACCTCTAAAGAGAAAATAGGGAAAAGGGACAGAGAGGGAGGCACCAGAGACAGGCTGTCATGAGCTCTCCCCACATACACCTGCTAGAGGCTTATGGGGAACACACCTCCCTGCTTGGGAAGACAGGTTCTTCATGGGCTCCTTGGCCTGTTAGTCCTGCCCTCTCCAATCCTAAAATGTTTCAGGTGGGATAGTTCTATTTAGGGCTCTGGGCTTCATTATGCTGTCCTCCCGCTGGCTCTCACAGTATAGATGCTTCTGTGTGGGTGCGACCCAATATATATCCCAGTCAGGATGTCTCTCTGCAACTGCAGGCTCACATGCCAAAGAACCTGCTCTAGGGGAGACCTCACTGATACCTCTATTCAGCAATAGGCCTCAGATCCTCCCCACACCTGCTCTGTCCAGCCTCCCACAGTTGCTCAGACCAAAGCTTTGCCTTACCACTGCCCTCTATCTCCCAGTCAAATCCTATGGACCCACTTTTCAGGATGTTGGGAGCCTCACTATCCTGACTGGTACCATTTGAGACCAAGCAAGGGGTACTGGAGCCAAGTGGAAAGGCTGAGTCATGGAAGGGGACAAGTGGTCCCTGATCTGATTGAGGGCAGGTGGGAGCTGCAGTGGGCAGGAAGAACTCTGGGAACCTGAATCACAGCACCTGGCTCTCACTTGACATCCTCCAAGGCTCCTTAGTCCACAATCTAGGGACAGGAAGATGGTGGCCAACATGACTGTCCCTCTACACCTCCGGGACAAGTGACTGAACAATAGTACCCTGTTCATCAGCATCTTCATCATCCTCTTGACCATTTCCCTCTCATGTATCAATCACATCCTACACTTACTGTCACATATGCGCTTCAGGTGACACAGGAAGCTTTATCTGCCAAGTGACTGAGACCACAGGAGGGGAGCAGCCGTTCATCTCCTCAAACTCCACCCTCAGGTGCTTCACAGGACAGCATGAAACTGGCCTTAGCGGGAAGGGCTGTCCCTGGCACTCCTAGCTGTAACGTGAAACTCCCCAATTTACACTCTCACATCAACCCCTAGAAATTTCACCAACTTACAAATAGAAAACAAATTATCTGAGAAAAAGAAACCACTGGTGAAAGGGCGGGCTCAGCCTCCAGAGCCCAGAACTGCTCCTTCCTTCTCACGACAACACACACTTCCCAACCTTCCTTCAGAACACTTGTGTCCGCCAAAGCCAAAGATGCAAAAGGAGCAGCATGGTGTGGCCATGCAGGGGGGACCCCATGACTCGGCTCCTGTGACAACCAGGACCACTATGATCAACAGGCCCAGGGACACCTCCCTGCCTGACCATATGGTCTGGTCCCTGTTCAACACGCTCTTTGTGAACTGCTGCCTGGGCTTCATTCCTTGGCGGTGTAAGTATGTGAGAATGTGTGTGTGTGTGTGTGTATGTGTGAGTGTGTGCGTGTGTGTGTGTGTATGTGTGTGCATGCCTTGGGGAAAATCCTAAGAAAGGCACAAGGTGAGGTTGCACAGGGACCCTGGGATCAGATTCAGTCTCCACTCCAGCCTAGAAAAATTCTTTCCTGCAGCCCATTTCAGAAATGTCCCCTTCACCTGCAAACAACGGAGCCCAGGCTGTCTGGAAAGTACAGAAAGGACTTATTTGTGGGACTTTCCCTCCAGGGTGGGGTGAGCAGGCATTGCTGGGGTCTCTTGGAGAGGCTGAGTGTACAGAAGGGTAGGAATGGTCCCAGGTGGAGGCTGCAGTGGGCACGTAGGACTCTGGGGATCCTCATAAGAGCACCTGGCTCTCACCTGACCCACACCAGGGCTCCTCACCATCTGGTCTCCTCCAGTCCATGGACAGGAAGATGGTGGGCGACGTGACTGGGGCCCAGGCCTATGCCTCCGCTGACAAATGCTTGAAAGTTTCAGCCCTGGTCTTCAGCATTCCCATGGCCTCATACTTTTTGCCACTGGTCATCTGGAATTTTTAAGCATTTGAAGAGAAGATGAAGAATTACGGGGATCCATATCCTCCACTCTCCACCAATGGCCCTTCACTCTGGGGCTGAGGCCCTGACCCACCACCCCAGATTAATGCAGCTGCTCACATCCACACATCTGTGCAAGACTGGAGTCAATAAAGTGCACGTGCTTGTGACTGTGCTGTGGCGTTCTTGGGGAGGGAGCCTTGCTGGAACACCCAGAGATTAAGCCCACCCTCATCCCTGGACACGGGCCCAGGCTGGCAGGTCTTGGGCTTCCTGCTATGGGCAGCAGCTGACCAACATCCTGGATGGCGTCTTCCAGGTATTGAGATGCTGAAGACAGGTTGGTGTTGAGCATGGCTGACACTGACCCATGCCCCCAGAACCCCAGGAAGGGGAGCAGAGGACCCTGATCCAGGGCTCCAGGTCCAGGGTGAAACCCAGACAGCAGCATCCCCTAGGCTCTGTGATGGTCTCGAGGTGTGGAGATGTGAGCTCCCAGGGACTGAGTGAGCCCATGACCCACTGGGGCTCTGAGGTGGGAGCTGGGGTGTCGGCGCCACCCCTTCCTGTGCCCACCCCACACCCACTGTGGATCGACCCTCCCATCCCTACAGTGCTCTGATTTGTTCCAGGGGTCCCTGGCGGGTGGGCTGGAGGGTAGGGGATGAGCAGCATCACCTTACTTAGTGTCTTTGTGGGCAGTAGAAGGCCGGACCCCAAGTGAGGGAGGGGCACAGGGCTCGCTCTGCATCTGTGGCACCTCCTGCCGGCGACCGGTGCAATAGTGCGGTCAGTGGAGGTGGCTACCACATGACTGCACCTGGCCTGGGTCCTTGCATGGACACCACGCTCCACAGGGCCGGGTCCCCTCAGGACCTCCTGCCAGGCCACCTCTCCTTTTCACGTCCCTTTTCCACCTTGGTGGCTGCAACTTCACGTCCCCACCTCTCCTACGGGCGCCACAAATGTGCAAGTTTCCTGGGACCCCCAGGGTAGAGAATCCATGCTTTCTCCCTTCTTCCATCCACGCAAGAGGGCCAGTGATTACTTTGAATACCTGTTTAATTAACCTCTGGAGGCCCGTCCTTTGTTTTCTGCCTTGGCTTTATCCCTGGTGTCTATGGGACCCCCCTGAGGCCCCTTGCTTCCTAAATCTCAGTCATGGGTTTTAAAGTATCCAAAATTTTAGGGACTGGCAGACTGATGATACCCCATGCTGTTTTCAGGTTTTGGTTGAGATTTGTATACAGGACTTTGTGCAAATGCTTTCTGTACAATAATGAAAATGGATGCCCCAGCCCACAGGCCATGTTGACCAGCGATTCTCCATCCAACAGCAGTCACTCCTAGGACCAGTTCTCACTCAGTCTTCTCTCTGGGAGGCAATCAGCTTTACTGTAGTTCTGACTCTGGGTGGGCCCTGATTAGACCCTGCAGGGTGGCCCCTGGGGTCTGTTGTCTGGGGCCTGCAATGGCACTTGTGACCATCAATGCTTGGGAGTGGCCTTGCTGGGAAACACTCCACTTAGCATAGTCTGCCAGAATTGGTGATCTCCAGGGAGGAAGAAAGGAGGCCTCTGCCTGGCCTTTGGGTACCGAATTCATGATGTCTCATAAAAGATTTTAGGACACATCAATGTAGAGGCCAAGAACATTTATTAGTAAAGCAAAGGAAAAAGAAAGATAGTGCACAGCCCAGACATGTATGCCTGCACATCTGATAACAGGTGCCATGAGTACTCTAACTGTAAAAAAAAAGCAGGGGAGTGGAGAGAGCATGATGGGATGACTCCATTTTGGGTGAGAGAGGCACTTTAAAAGCAGACATCTAAAGAGGCATGGGAAATAACCGGCTTCTCAGAGAAATAACAAGCCTCTCACCAAAGTAACAAGATGCACCTGCAGAATGTGGGTAGTGGGCCCCAAGGCCAGGAAGAGCTGACCACACCCTCCTGGAATATGCAGTCTGATAAGGATGGGGGTGGGGGCAGCCAGCAGGTTGGGTTCAGCATAAATTATATAGACAGTCAATCATAGATGCGGCTTCAAGGTACAATAGTTGGACCTAAGCCAGTTAATGTCCTGTATCACCATCTGGACTTCAGCCTTTCTTTGGTTTAGATCTTTCACTAAGTCCCACCCATCAGGGTGCTTTGCCATCTTTTCAATAAGCCTTGTGCTTGCTTTTACAATTAAGTCCTGTTTCGGTGTTGTCAATCATTGATGACACCAGGACACAAACCCAGGGAACAACAATCTGGTATCATAATAGGGGGCTCTTTGTCTGGGATATTGCAACGAAAAGTTGCCAAGGAGAGGGACTCTATTGTACTTGAAAGGAGAGCTAGGATGGCTGACTTGAGATAGAGATCACCAGAATCTTAGAAGAGCTGCTTCTAAGAAAGCAGCAAGGACCAGCCCAGAAACAGCTGCCCTGGGGAGATAAGGAACCATGGGAAGAAGAATAAAAACGTCTTCCCAAATCCCCCAGAGAGTATCCAGTTTCTGTACCTGGCTGTACAAAGCACTCC